GTCTGTAGTATGGATGGTAGCCTTGCTCTAGCCCTGGGCCTGCAGACTGTACTGGTGGTTAGACCACCACTTTTTCAACAGAAAATTGTACTAAATGTAACAGTATTTTAACTTGAATTACGTGTAGTGCGAGTCTAATTTCTTATTACATACATAAATTGAAATAAATAAGAACGATAAATGCTCATCACCTTGAGGTCAACAAACCCATTAAGTTTGTCATAATAAAAACAAGAGGCCCATGGGCCTTAACGGTCCCCTGAGTTCTGATATATTTATACAGAGAGATGATTTTTGTTTTTAAAACATGAACAGAAATATTATTCAAAGTGACAAAAAAACAATAAAACCACCTTATTCAATATCTAGCATACAGATTTAAGACTGAAAAGTATTTGAAAGTAGCACCTCTGATTCTAAACAAGGAAAATGAAGAAATTTTAGCACACCAACTCCTTGGGGGTAGGTCTGGCTCAAAATTTTTTAAGTAATAAACTGTCAACTCAGGGTTATAATTCCAATCAAGTTATCAACATGTAATATTCAAAGTATCATTTAAATTGCCATTATAAACCATCATAAATGTTGCCCCCCCCCCCCGTCCCCAGGGGTAAATGCGAGACCCTAGGGTCATAAAATTCACAATTTCGGTAGAGCACCTTAAAACCCTTCCATCTATGAAGAGTATTTATTACTGCCATATCTGGGTCTTGAGGAGAAGATTTTTGAAATTTCAGTCAATTCAACCCTTTTTGGCCCCACCCATCAGCCCTGGGGGGTCAGTCAGGGCTGATATTTGCATACCATCAAACTGCTATCCAATACTGATAATGCTAACCCAAATTGAATTACTTCCAATGGAAATTAAACAAATGTTGGTTCAAAATGTGATTTTCCTATATAAACTATAGTAAAGTTTATCCCCTCCCCAGGGGAAAACATGAGACCCCAGGGTCAAGAAATTCACACCATATCTCGGTCTTGAGAAGAAGATTTTTAAAATTTTAGTCAATTCAACCCTTTTTGGCCCCGCCCCTCATGAAGGCCCCTGGGAGGTGGGGACCATATAATTCACAGTTTTGGTTGACCTTTGGCCATGGAAGATTTCTGCAAAATTTCATTGAAATTGGTTAAGGGGTTTTGGAGAAGAAGTCGAAAATGTAAATTGTTTACGAACGCACGACGGACGACAGGCGATCGCAATAGCTAAATCACTTGAGACTTTGTCTCAGGTGACCTAAAAATGACAAAAAACAATTTGCATGAGTACCTCCGTGTGTATATCATAATTAATACAGAATTTTAATTTAAAGCAATAAATCTAAGTATAATAGTCTCATAATTTCAATAATGTTTTGTTTTAGTTGTTAGTTTTTCATGAACTTATTAGCTTCAAAAAATAGGAGGAATATAAAAACATCAATATTTACTATTGAAACAAGATGCCCAAATGACCTGTATTGCTCAACTGTCACTTATTTCACATCTGTGACCTTCAAAGAAAGTCAGGGTTTGATTTATCTAAATAGACTGTAATAACACTACACATTTTTGTGTTTTACGGAAGGTTTTCATACACTACTCCTTATGAATCCTTTTTGGGTGACTTTTAAAGTATTTTATTGATCAATTTTTCAAGGCTAGTTGGTGTAAGTCATTTATGCAAATCCCACACATCATATCACTTTCCACCATTAACCTGAATGCCAAATATCATGACCTCAGGCATCAGAAGTTGTTTAAAAGATTTAACATATCGATTAAACCCCTGTGACCTTGAAAATGACTCAAAATCATTTGTTTAAATAAACTTGACAGCCCTTCATCCGAGTATGCTACTGACCAAATATCATCACCCTCGGCCTCATGGTTATTCAGAAGAAGATGTTCAAAGTAAAATATTGATGCTGGACAGACGGTGGGACTACTGCACCACTGTATAAGCTCACTTGGACCTTCAGGCCATGTGAGCTAATTTTTGGTTTGGTTAACTTTTGATTGGGTCATTTAAGGATGTGCCTCCATGTATATAGTGTATGCGTGCTTGCTTGTGTGTATGCTGGAGACAGGTAATGTTGGTTTGCTTGCCTTCTTGTGATAGCGCGGATCTGATGCCGACTTCATAGTGCTATCTCACTGAAATGCCATGTCGAAGGCACCAAGCACAGCATTCCGCTCCGTCACATTATACTGACAACGGGTGAACAAGTTGTTGCCATTTCCGTTATTGCTGAGCGTTAAGCAGGGAATAACAAATACCATATTTAAGGACTTTGGTATGTCCCGGCCTCAGGACAGAACCCATTGCCTTCCTCACCTTGGCGAACGCTCATGTGAGCAAATAACTTGAACGTTATGCCATAGAATATTGTACATGAACAAATTCAAGTTATATTTCTAAAATATCTGGTTGGCACCAGTAATAAGCAGACACCCATAATATGTTCAATACTATATCTGTCCCTACAAGCCTTTGATGATTGGTGTAAACAGGTGTACCTCAGACTGATTGGTTTATTAGGTTACGATCTTACCAACAGCTAAGGTAACTTAAAGATTTGTTTGTGTGTGTGTGGTCATTATCATAATCATAAGACAAATTATCTACCAACCCACCCAAATTTTGTTCACAATTTAACTGACCCAAATATTTTTTCATGATGTAATAAGAAAGAAACAATTTATTTTAGGCCGAATTTAACTCTGGCTTACTCCAACATTTTTTTCTCCGATCAATAATATTTTCGGCAATCTGCATTCTTTACTCTCTGTTAACCAGCGTTGAATCCTGTTCTGGTCTGAAGGACTTTCTTTTACTCATCAGAGTTTTATTATAAAAGATTGTTTATTATACGAAATCAAGTTCACAAAACACAATATGACACAGTACTAGTAGAGACATCCAAATAAAGAAGCAGATACCAAGTACCATTCAAATTAGTGCAGCACTTTGGGAGGAGTAGTAAAATGTTTCAAACAAAGGGGAATAACTCCATAAATGTGGGAGGTGACTCCAATTTATATTCTTCAATCATGTTCCTCATTGTAAGTGCTATGTGTGATTAGTATAATTAAAATCGGTGCAGTACTTTAGGAGGGGTAATGTAACAACTCTTTTCAAGAAAGGGGTGTAACTCAATGAAAAGGGGAGGTAACTTCAATCTATATCGTTTATTCACATCCCCCTCAATGTAAGTGTAACTGTGTTATGTACATTAAGTAGCATTCAAATCTGTGAAGGACTTTGGATGAGTAGTGTAAATGATGTTTTTAAACAAAGGGGCATAAATCCATTGAAATAAGAGGTAACTCAAATCGATATACTTTCCTTACATCCCCTCCATGTCAAAATCGATGGAGTTTTCTGTGGGAGGAGTAGTGCGTACACCAATGTGTGTATACAGTCAGACAGACAGACAACCTAATTCCAGTACCCCACACCCCACACACAACTTTGTTGCTGGGGGGGGGGTATTATGATTTTATGTACATGTATACCATACTAAATGTGAAATATTAAATGTCTGCTCTCCACTAAATCTATCTGTATTACCTTATGATACAGTAACTGATGAATATCAGGATCATAAAACTATAGGTTTTATTAGATGGAACCTCTTGGATTCACAAAGCTATACCTCTATCTCACACAATGTACTCTGTTCACAACTCAGAATTTGTCCAATATTATAATCATTTACACAAGAATGCCAAGGACGGTGCTTGGTCACACGTTGATCCTCCCAGTCACATCACGGCACTGTGTTGTATCATTGAACAAGATACTTTACTCCACTTTAATAGTCAACTTAGCTGTAAATGAGTACTTGCATTGGTTGGGCAGTGCTAGAATTGTTGAATGCTAGCTGTAAGTGCCAAAATAGCAGCATGGCCTGTAAGCTTCCCAGGGAGTTAAGAAAGATATTTGCTGGTTGCAAAGGCCCAGTGCTAGAATTTTTGAATGCTAGCTGTAAGTGCCGAAATGGCAGCACGGGCATGTATGCTCCCCAGGGAGTTAAGAAATATATTTGCTGGTTGCAAAGGCCCTATAACCAAGGATAATAATTTGTGAACTGCTTTAAGACGATCTATNAGGCCCTATAACCAAGGATAATAATTTGTGAACTGCTTTGAGACGATCTATGAACTAGGTTGTGATAAAGCGGTATATAAAAACCTCAAATTATTATTAATACTATTATTTGACTGAACCCTCGGTATGGCCTTGACCTCGAGTATCAAGAAGTTACAGTAGCATGTGACAATGTCATCCAGCAAACGGTGCACTCAATGTACTGTAGTTTCAATAGTTCCACGATATTGTGAAAAGTCTTCCCTTGGAAAAATGCAAAGAGTCTATTATAGGGCATTGAATCATTCTTGCTATTCTGAAAGTAAAGCTTATAAGTCAAAAGCTGCCCTCTAGCTTAGGAACAGAGCCCCAAAGGAAACAATAGCCACTTTATTTCTCATGCACTAAGGATGCTATTATGTGTACCAAAAATAACCAATTAGACCCCTTTTGACCCTGCCTCTCAACCACCAGGTGGGTCAACCCTATATTTGTACAGATTTTGGTCCCCTACTTCTTCAATCAAATACGGTCATTTGAGAAAGAAGTCAGTCAAAATGGTTTGTTCAGTTGAATATGATGCAAATACTTTTTATAAGGGAGTATAAAAGGTAGAAAAAGTCAAAGTGCCAAACAAACAACAGTAAAAGTACTTATTTTAGTTCAGTCTTTAAGTGCATTATCAAAGTTAAATTTCCGTGCATTGACGAATCCATAATAAACGCGCTAGAAAAAACCATACAGAAACTTCCATCAGCGAAATAATAATTTCGCCAAATATTTTAAATGCGACACTCAAAATAAAAGTACCACTAAAATAGTTACATTTCCAGTATCTAAGACAGTGTAATGCTCATCTGCAGTATGATGTGATTAGAAAGGAGGAAAAGGAAGAAACACTTGTTAATTTTGAAAAAAACACACTTACTTTTGAAACTTTCTGGTCCTTCAGGTCACGGATTTTATTTCCTTGAGCAACAATTTTATCGTTGAGGTCAGAGTCTCCAGTTGTCGCCGGGGCAGTAGCGGCCTGGGCTGGTTTGGCATCTGGTTTCCAATCCTTGCCAGTGGCAGACTTATACTCAGTCTTCAATGCCAACAGGATCTTTACCTCAGCATCAATCTGATCCTACAACAGGAAGCAAATGGCTACCGTGTACTTTTATACAGTGATATTTTTGTGATTAAACAAAAGAACTATATGTAGTAAAGCCTTTGTTGGCCTCCAATTCCATTAAAATTCAAAACCTTTAACCTGATTTCCAAGCTTTTAATACTATATATTGATACAATGTACTAATATGAAAATATTTGTTTACAGGCATAATAGTGAAATTTCACATAACACATTCATGTATTCCTAAAGTTAGAAATTCTAGACTTTAAAGTTTTTTCAAGCTATATATGAAACATCTGTTTACCTTCTTTGCCTTCTGGGATTTAAGATCTCTGACTCTGTTGCCCTGTGCTGCGACCTTGTCGTATAGGTCACCGTCTCCTGTAGTCGCCGGAGCAGCAGTCACTGGGGCTGGCTTGGCATCTGGTTTCCAATCCTTGCCAGAGGCAGACTTATATTCGGCCTTCAACGCCAACAGGATCTTCACCTCAGCATCAATCAGATCCTACAACAAACAGCAAATGACTACTGTATACTTTAACTACAAGATAGTTTTGTGATTCAATAAAAGAACTATCGACCAAGGTAGGTCGAATGGTCTTTGTTGGCCCCAAATTCCACCAAAATTCAAAAAACCTTTCACTGAATAACTGGTTTTGAAATTAAGAATACTACATATTGATACCATTATGAAAATTGTTATTCTAATTGCATTATAGTGAAATTTTACATATCATGTCATCTTTAATATACATGTACAGTGTAATCTGTATTAAGCGACCACCCAAGGGAAATTAAACAAGAGGCCGATGGGCCTTAACGGTCACCTGAGTCCTACAGTATTCATTTTTGCTGTTGAAATATGAAGTGGAGATAATGATGTCAATCATCCCTACCACAATTTGAGTAAAAAAAAAGTTAAGTATAACGTTAAGTTAAGTTTGTCATTCCTAGACCGAGTTTCAGTTAAATAGGCCTATTTAAACTTGATCTTAAGTTTTCTTTTTTTCCTTTCTCAAAATGGCCAGCTGTAGTGGCCATATTGGATTTCTGATCGACCAGAAAAATAACAACACTTTGTCAGGACCATAAGTCGATCATTTCTACAAAGTTTCAGTTAAAACGGCCCAGTAGAACTTCACTTTAAGTTTGAAATAGTTTTTTCAAAATGGCGGCTGTGGTGGCCATATTTAATTTCTGATCGACCCGATAAATAACCATTTGTCAGGATTATGAGTCGATCATTACGACCAAGTTTCAGTTAAATCAGCCAAGTAGAACTTGACTTTAAGTTTGAAATAGTTTTTCAAAATGGTGGCCATATTGGATTTTTGATCGACCCGAAAACATTCCCATGAAGTATCAATGAAATCTCTTTGACAGTATTTTAGCTGAAGTTGAAAATGTAAAATGTTAACGTACGACGGACGACGGACAAAGATGGATAGCAATTAATAGGTCCATTGACTTAAAGCTCAGGTGACCTATAAAACGGTCGTTTAACAAAAATGGTTGTTTAATAAAGTTTGACCATATTTTGTACACACAACCGACTATAACCAAACGCCTCCTTATTCAGACAACTGTTAACAGACCACCGCCCCAAGCACACGTACAGGTAGTTTAAAACAACATCGTTCAACAGATCAGGTGAATAACTAAACAATACAATAGTCGAGTGATAATTATGACAGTAAACAAACAACTAAGAGTGTTTGAAAATAATTGTCATTACACTCGGAACAAAAGATGGACGGAGACTTGTTGAAGTTCTCAACTTACACGATTGTGTTTTTGGTAATTACCATGATTTAAGCTAAACTTGTTTCAAAATATATTGTTGTTGAAATGATAGCTGTTCCTGTGTTGGTCCAACAAATGGGTTCACGTGTATTATTCCTTTATTTTCGATGGAAACTGGAAAGAGAATCCAGTTAAAAAAATTACCTAAATAAACCTGACAGCATGTTGCCGTAAACGGACCGGTATTGTTGTCATTAGTACTTTGGCGTTGAGAAGTTCAGGGATGTTATTAAAGGCGTTTAATATTGATGAGGAATTAGAAACGATATGTATGCTACATAAACATATTTAGTGCGCAGTTGCGCTGATATTTACTGATAATTTCGCACGACAGTGCAGTCGTAAACATCTCTCAACAGATCCGATTTCAAGAATGAAAACCACCTACTACTTGAAGGGTTAAAGGTTACATTGCCTAGCAGGACACTTGCACAATCAAAATGGTTTTGCTCGGCTGCGATAAATATCAGTCCATATTTCACTGCTAAATCATCAATATCGGCAGTTAGAAAAAATACTTTTTATTTGTTTCTGCACATCAATGAATTTATTATGAGTTTGGAAATTGTTTTTTTTCTTCAAATTTGTTCATTGAACTTGTTTAAAAGATCGTGAATTAGCCCTTCGTCAAATGTGGTGACAGTCGCAAATTTGGAGGTTACACAACTATTTCAACGATCGTTTGGTATATTTTCGTCAAACATGGTCGCTAAAATGTATCAAATGTGGTCGTTAAACATAATTTTGGGGTTATTTTGGGGGGTTGCTGGTCGCGTTAGACCGATTGTCACTTAATACAGTTAAATTCCATCCATAGTAAAAATGGTCGGGAGGAATGAAAAGTGGGCGCATAAAACAGATGGTCATTTAATACAGATGGTCGCTTAAGCAGATTTGACTGTAGTAAATATAGACTGTAAAGGTTTTTTTCAAGCTATATTTGAAACATCTGATACCTTCTTTGCCTTCTGGGATTTAAGATCTCTGACTCTGTAGCCCTGCGCTGCGACCTTGTCGTATAGGTCACCGTCTCCTGTAGTCGACGGAGCAGCAGTCACTGGGGCTGGCTTGGCATCTGGTTTCCAATCCTTGCCAGAGGCAGACTTATATTCGGCCTTTAATGCCAACAGGATCTTCACCTCAGCATCAATCTGATCCTACAACAAACAGCAAATGGCTACTGTATACTTTAACTACAAGATAGTTTTGTGATTCAATAAAAGAACTACCCCAGTTAAGGTAGGTTGAATGGTCTTTGTTGGCTCCTAATTCCACCAAAATTCAAAAAACCTTTAACTGAATAAGGCCAAAAAAAAATGATTGCTTGGTTCTCAGGCCCGCACGCATTTCATTTTAGGGCACCGCATTGCCTATTTTATCGTGAAAGTAATAAAAAAAAAACGTGAATGCGCCAGTCGCAGTCTTTAAAAAATTCCGGAAAATTGGTCCGCATGTGTTTTACTCGTTAATCACCCAGGTCCCGAAAACGTTTGAATAAAGATAAGGATTGAGATACAGGCAAGCGTTAAAATGATTATGACTTATTAGTCTTGTGTACAAATGGTGCTCATTTCGGTACAAATAAGGAATGGGGGGTTCGTGATTCTCGTCTGGAATATCGTGGGGGGATTTTGGAGGCTTGCTCTATGACGGGTCTCTATACAACTATAACAAGAGGCCCATGGGCCTTAACGGTCACCTGATATATTTATACAGAGAGTTGATTTCGTTTTTAACATGAACAGAAATATTATTCAAAGTGACAAAAAACAATAAAACCACCTTATTCAATATCAAGCATACAGATTTCAGACTAAAAAGGATTTGAAACTAGCACCTCTGATTCTAAACAAGGAAAATGAAGAAATTTTAGCACACTGACTCC